GAGAAGTTCGGCTACCGGCTCCTGAGAACGGCAAACAAAGCAGATAAAGGTATGGTAGGTAGCATCTTGGCAATTTATATAGTGGCAGAAAATCCCTGCGATCTTGTAACTTTCTTTCGTTAGGCTAAGAAGTCGCTTGAGGAGACTTCTCATGTACATACTGTCAGAGTACTGTAAAAGAAGGAGCAGGACCCCCCCAGTACTGTATGGATATTAACACTTTGACTGTCGTATCCGAAGAGGTCCATTATATGCCTCGCAGGAAGTTGGCAAGGTGCAAATATACTGAGAGACTTTATATGGTCAATACACTATAGTACAATGATAGTAGAGTCCAGGAGTCTTCCTACATAGAGAATGGCTCAACAGGAGTTGTGTTTGCTACTTATATTCCAGTCCTTTAACCAGTGACTAAATATGCAACTGCGACAACCAAACCGGGAAGTATAAAATAAAATCATCGGCTATCTGACCAATCGTCCCTCAATGCTCAAAAGCATGAAGTCGTTATAATCTTGCGCCCAGTGACAATGGGCTGCGCTAGCCACCAAACGGTTAACAGGCAACCAAACTGAATACTACACGATCTCTAGGAAAGAATTCAACCCGAGGACCATCAGGTCGTATTTTAACTGCATTATAGGTACGTTATCAGCATCATTGCATGAACACACTGCACGCTTCTACTAAAAAAATATGCACTTATGTTATGAAGCGACCTTTTAATTCAAAACAGCTCACTTTTTAAACTGGCCCTCGGGAAAGCAGTTGTGCCGGTTTATGGACTGCTAGAGTATTTTTCGTAAATTTGTACATAATTTTGGCCACCCAATGTGTATCAGTACCCTAATCAATTAGTACAGTTAGAAAAGAGGATTTACACAGATAACTGCGTCCGAAGGCCTGTCCTAACTGCAATCAGAACCATGGTCACTCCAAAATTCTCAGTCGAGTAGACAAAAGTTGTAGAACAGTTGCGAGGCTAAGATGCTTCCTCCTGGTCTAGTTCCCTTTACACCGTCGGACTCCTGCTCTCAACGAAGCGAGGGACTCGACTCCAGCTCTCAGATATCCACAACTTGGACCTGGATGATGGCAAACTAGCAAAAACAAAACGGAGACAAGCTGAAGCCCACATTCGCAGCCACAGGTTGTCAACCAACGTGAAAAAAAGCATGGACAATAGGCATAAAGGAGAATTTTGACCAAAAAAATCAAAATACGCTTTGTGTAAACCTAGCCCGATCCAACGACTACCCCTTGGTGTTCCAATCCGGAACGAAAGAAACGCCCCCCTTCTCAAACAGACACTGTATACCCGTACCCAGCACCACTTACTAACCAGAAAAAAAAAGATTTTGATTATCCAAGTCGGCAGCCTGAACGGCCACTCAGAAGCGCAACAGCATTTGATAGAAATAGCCAGTCCCACAAAGCTGCAGTTCAGTGTACACAACTAGGGGATATCTGAGACAATCCAAGAAAGACGATCGAGATAGTTTGGGCACGTTATCTGTCGTCCGCCTCACAAGCTTCTCCTTCGCTGCTCCCTATACTTTGGCGCAGGCCATCTGGAGGCGTTGTAGAGAGCAACGCAAGACTTGGCTCGACACCGTTTATCAGTTCTTGAACATTCTATTGAAGGGCTCCAACGCTGGAGAACAGAATGGGCGGAGCTTCCCAGATGCACTGCCTCCAATCGTCACGCTTGGAGAGGTACCATCCGTGACATCATTGAGGCCGGCTAGATCAGGCATGATCACAACCGCATCAAGTGCCAGAGAATCCAAGAATTTAGACAGAATGCGTAATAATAGGCCCAGATGGCAAGTAAACAGGTGGAAAAAACCCGACGCTCAAAGATGGTAGTTTAAGTACACGACGCCACGCTCCGCACGGCACCTGCAAACAAAGACTACGATTGCCAAGAGGCAGGATTAGAAGGGGATTTGCCACACCCATTGTCTTTTTGCGAATAACCGAAATGTATTATAAAAATGACGTGAGCAGACGAGTAGTTTTATTATTATGGGCTCATTTTATTTCACAAAACTTCGAACCATGTGATTACAGACCTAGAATTAAGAATTTGTTCATTTAACCTCATACAGGATTCTAAACAGATCTAACAGTAACAATATTCGCAGGATTGGCCTGATTAAGTAAGTTAGGAAGCACTTTGTTTAGAAACCGGTTAGTTGAAGCCGTGCTACAGCCAAAGGTCAATCTACTTAGGCAAAAAAATCGGACAAAAGGACTAAATACCTGCTGTTCTTAGCCTCAGTTTGACCAGGATAAAATGACTGTAACGTGAAACATGGTGAACGACGACGGACGTCAATC